TTAAAAATGTGGAAATATTAGCTGGATGAGGAATTCAAGTTTTAACTGTTATCATCAGTTAAACTCGGTGCTCTGTATATAATTATCGTTATGCTTTCGCGTACTACGGTAGTTTAAATGCCATCAGCTCACCAGAACACAGTCCAGTGCGGGCGAAATTATAACCTGGAGTCAAATCAATAACCAATCGGTCGCATGTGTGAACTGTTGCCTTCAATGCATAACTCCTTTCCCAACCACCCACCTAGAAGTCCATTGTCAGTCCTGTATTTTCAAACCAATTTATCAGCTCCCGCCTACAATACGTAGCTACCTACCATATCTCCCCAGATCATTGGTGGACCAAACTGTGGTAGATAACCGCTGTACGACAAGTCCACGGTTTTTACAGCTGATGATGGTGATTATGTGATCTTGAACTTTTAAGTCATCCAATAAAACGAGAGACTCAGTTGAGTCTGTCGTGAAAACCAAATTGATTTGCAAATGAGTTTATTTCTCAAAAACAGTCGAATTTGGGTTCAAGTAGAACATAAGGGTGACGGAAACTCGGGGACTGCGCCTACCTGATGAGACCCAAAAGGGCTCAACCAGTAGTGGGCTGTCGAAGAATTTTCAACAACCTTGTGAGTAGTTTCATTTATGTAAGTTTTAATGGTCTCCAACGTTGATGTAGCTCACTCCAGGATAATCATACCTCTCCATCGTGTGTCGTTGAAGTGAAGGATTGATACCTTCTGGGGTCTTGTGCACCTCACACCGTAATTTAGAGAGGGATTGCTACTCAGGCAGCGCACAACATTCAGTAACCATCCGAATGTATGATTTTCAGCGAACCAACACAATCTAATGAATAGCATCACCAAAAAACAAAAAAAAGTTTAGAAACACAACAAACATGAAATGGTTTTTATCCCTATTCACAAGAGTAAAGTTGTCCCGATTTGTCTGCATCTATGTACGCAACACTGCAGGGAACCACCAGACCAAAGGCACTGGTGACGGGAAAGTTGATTGGTCTATGCATACTGGCCAGGGGAATGGAGGCAGTTAAGCAAGACTACGACGATCGTTTTGCTGTGGGTCACAGAATTCCTCGCTGTCATGATTTGTTCGCAAAGCTTGGCAGTTGAAAGGCCAATAACGAAGGCCAGCTGAGTATGGCATTCGACTGAATGGTTGGGTTGAGGTAGGATGGATCGCCTAGCTTTCTGGAGTCGCGAATTCGAGGTTATATTTTAGTATTCAGAACATTGCTCAGCTGAGCACAGTCTTGTGACTTTGTCTGTTTGCAAAAAGTGTACTTCTGACATAACTCCAATAATACACCTTTGGACTGGTTAACCTATTCCGTTTCGTACCATGTAGTGTGAATGGGCAATTTACTCGGGGTTTAAATAACTTGCTGGTTTGTGAAGATATCCAAGAGAAAATTATCGGTACGCTCCATTACTTCCCAGTCTTACAGAAGGGCACAGTTTCATGCAACAAACTATCGTCCCGAAGAAGCCCAACGAGCTAGAACCAGCTGTAGAGTGCAAAAGGTGTCACTGGGCTTAGCCGAGCCCATAAGCAATACAACAAGGATTGTTTTCCTTCGTGAGCAATACAGAATAAACCATCGGTGTCAGCAACAGTCTCCAACTTTCTGCCATGTCTCTACAGCTTTCCGCGCATCGAAACTGTGGCAGCTGGAACCAATATGTCCCTGGTACAAGTTTTGCAGCTGATATACTGACTGACTATACTGGCGACTGTCTATTCTCTTACAAAAGTTGTCATGCTGTGCGCTAAGCCAGTTATATTTTCCAAATAAATGGAAAGGAATAGATAAAAAAATTTTCGGGTGTAAACCGACATCTTCTTCTTGTGGTTAAAATTCAGCAACAGTATTTTGGTAGATCAGCGTCTTCGTTTTGCTGGTAGAAAATCTTCCGGTGTGAACTCATCAGAAATCCCTATTGCCGATACATAGGGTGCATTTTTGCCCTCGTGTCAGGTGGCTCGAAATTTGCCGTCTATCCTCTTGCGAAATTTTAGGCAAACCTATCCTGGCATTCACTTTTGAGACGTAGACAGATGATTCTTCTCGTTTTTTTGGATTTCGATTTTACCAGGTTACCGGCGGGTTCGTCACAGAACTGTGTCTAGAGACAGCCCACGTGGACTCTGATAGTTTTGTGCCACTAAGACGAAAAATAACTCTAACACACCCCTTAGCGAACTGAGCTGGACTGATCTGCTTGAATACCGTATAGCAAGCCTCAGGTAAGAACCAATGGTTATCCAAATGGACGGATAATCAAGAGTGTGGTTCCAGGAACTGCCAAACTGATAATGACAACATCTGCTAATAAACCAATCTAATTGGGAATACCACAGAAAAGCGATATACTTGGCAAACGCTGTCAACTCCCGTATCTTCCAGCCTAAAGCTGTCACCTTGACGTGGTGGTCGGGCTTGAGTGCTGCAATGATCCCGCTGGCCACGCTGGCTGTAACTCCTTTCCCTAAGGTGCAATCGTGCCAGGGAGGCCAAATGGGAACAGTCACATCCCCTACTACGAGTAATCGTGCTACAAGGCGGTCTGGGGGTAAATCGTACTGTCCTCTACAATAGGAGTAGGTGTAAGATGTTTCCTCCAGGTGACCAGCATGTCCATATTTATGGAAGGAGCGACCTTCCCCCGAGGAATACGTCGAAATACGTTTGAAGCCAAAGAGTTCAGTGCTGCCCAAAAGGCACCTTTAGAAAAGGCAGCCCACATTCTGATCGCCCAATGGTTAGCCGTGACTGCCGTCGAAATACGTTTGAAGCCAAAGAGTTCAGTGCTGCCCAAAAGGCACCTGCTGTGTGCAGCTGCTTATTCCCTGCCCCCTCAGGTTAGGCCAACCCCCTATAGCTGAGTAGGTCAGACTATTGAGTCATCGGCCTCGGGCAGGGTCCCCAAGGAAACCCTTCATCCTTCCACTGCCTTGTAGGTCAGAATTTTGAGTAAAAGGCTCAAGGTGGAATACTTCGATCAACCCCGCCCTCGACCTGGATAATTGGGAAGTGTCATTTACCCGCGCAGTTCGCTGTTCACTGATGTCCCTCCCCAACCCCTTCCCACCACACAAGCAAAGGACACTGGGTAATTTGACTGTCAGTTATCGGACCGAAGGGCCTTAGGCTCCTCACTGCCTATTAACAATAAACAAAGTAACACCCTTCTAAATCCAAGAAATCCTCTCTATGTAGGAGCTTTTAACGTACGTACTCTATGTCAACTTGGCAAACAGGCAATTCTAGATGAAACCTTGTACTCCTTTGAAATTGATATGGGCTGTCTCCGAAACACGCACACAAGATTCAAGCATGATTATGCATCTCAGAACGCCAAGGATGAACTCACCTCTTTCACATTCCTCCTTCAGTGCCCTGTGACTCAGAAGCAATGAGTTGTGGAATATATAGCGTGGGGACTGCACTTAACCCCAGAGCTGAACGCGCTTTGCTGGACTGCATCCCAGTGAACAATCGTTTTGGCGCCGTCCGATTATCTACTTCAATCAGGCTCAACGCTCCTGCGATGCCTATTTGTAGTGTAGGCTTATCCCCCAACGGACTGCAGTTCTGATACTGATAGAGCTATCCGGGCCTATTCGTCAAGCAAAAACCGCCAACATTGTGATCACCACCTTTCTATCAACCTCTGTTGCCTGGTTATTTTAACTGCCGGGTCGATAAGAGCTGTTCGTGTTTATAAATGCCATCATTTTATCCACTGGTTATGTTTTAGTGACACTGTGCAACTAATCAGTCAATATGTATGTTACTAGTCCGTTGTCAAAGGGTTTTCAGCGAATTTATGAGTAGTGTGTTGCATCTAGGTTCACCTGTCCTTTTAAGGCGGAATCCGAAATTTAGTCGGAGTTGAATGCCTAACTTTTACGTTGCGATCGGCTGACCAGTGGTACGTGTAGGTTGGGTTTTACACGGTAATGTTTCCTCACATCGCATTTCAGCTCCCACAAACTATCCCTGTCAAACTGAAGTGAGCTCTAATTTCAAGTTGACATGATCTTCCACCGAGTTTAGTGAATGTTTATGTTGATAATAGGGAGTGTTGCTGAGACGCAGTACGCGTTTCCAAGGTTGGATTTCTGAAGCCGTACCCTTATTCGGAACAATTGCCTTCTTAGTACGTCAGGTACGCTATAACATCGGTAGGTCAAACAAATAGATAATTTTGAAGTGGCAACCGACATTTTACGATCTAAATGATCAGCAGTTCAAGGTTTTGACTTTACCCTCTGTAAGTTTGACTTAGTCTTTTTTCCAACAGATGCGATATCGCAAGACCTGGTCAATAGTGCAGTCAACCTTTCTTCAAACAGATACTCGCTGAACTGTATCCGTGTGTGTTCAATTTAAGGTAGGGATATCAATCAACAAGCATTATTTTAAATAGCTCAGACGAATTAATAATCCTGAATCACTCGGTTAACGGCTGACGACTCACGAATTGCTTTTGTACAGACTTTTTGGTTTTATCTCTTTGTGATTATAGTTGGTTTAAACGACTGAATTTCGCCCGACCATCAAACTGGTAGGTGAGGTCTTTTCTAGCTGTGTGTGTTCCACTTACTGATTCATCCATTCATTTAAATATGCAGTTGGTTTTAACAGCCCTAATCCGGCTTAAGTTTTTTGAAAACAGGCGAACATGCTCCACTATCTGTTACTGGTAGAAAAGGAAACTCACTCGATTTTACGAAGACTGCGACAACCAAAGTTCTGGAAAAATAAATTGACCAATACAAAAGCACCCCGGGAATCAACCCACTCAATAAGCTAATGTCAGTTTGTCAAGGTCGTAACAGTAACATCGTGTACCGTATTTTGGCCTTAGGTTAATTGTATCAAACAACCTATTCAATACGTGCCTGTGTACACATAATGCGCGGCTTTCTTCACACTTTCGGTTCTCTATCTGCCCTTATCTACTGCGTTTCAGTGGAGCTGGCGGTATCCACGGCCAATTTCGGTCTGTTTTTCAATCAGGGCCAATGTTGTTGTGCCAGCTCGCGAATCTTTGTCGAGGAATCCATTTACGATAAGTTTGTTGAGTACAGCACGGAGCATGCGAAAGCACGCGTTGTGGGAGATCCCTTTGATGTCAGTACTCAACAGGTAACTTTTTATTCCTTTTGGTCTGCCTTCCGTGAGAATTGATCGTTTTTAACTTAACATCGCTTCATGCACGTGAAGCGGACTACTCCAAAGGGAGGAATTTTCTTTAAAAGTACACCACAACGTCCTCTGTCAATCAGATCTTGGTGGGCTAGCCCTTTTTCCCATAATGTGACTCCACTCTGGTTATATATATGGCCATATAGTTGTATAGCTATGTATAATATATTGTGTATACAATATAAATTATATACATTTTATATTATTAGAACGTTCGCTTTCTTGCGACAGCCGTACCCAGCAACTGAATACCTATAGGTTTCTTCTAAACTGTTTGCCTTCTAGCGTCTCCTTCAATGGTAACTTTCATCCATTAGCAACACGAAGATCGTTTGCTTGTTGGCAACATAAGGTACACTTATCATGTTTGCTCCGCAGAAATCGGTTCAGTACTCCACTTTGCTGTCCCTGTTTTCTATCTACTCGGGAGTTCCACCAGTTCGTGGATGTCTTCCATGGTCATTCTGTTTCAACACCGAGCACTGTCCTGAATTATCAGTAGTGAATTAGTTTGGATGAATATAAGTTGATATCACGGAATGGTCGATTCGGCATGACCTCAACCGTGTAGCCACCTCAGGGCGATAAAAAAGGGAAGACAAGTAATTCATGCTTGTTGAAGATAATTGACGGCAAAAATATAAGAATGACATTCGAAACTGGGAGGCATTCCATTCATGATAAACACATTACTTATTGGGAATAACTTTTAGATGACAGTGTTGATTGTTTTCTATTAGTTTGTCGTATTTGAGAGACAATGTACTAAGAAGGGGCTATGGCACTCCTACATTGCTTCGTTTCTACCGCCCTTCCTGATTACCCTGTTGGCTTCATTTTGTTCCCCCTCCACCTACGCAGGGCCCGCAAGTCGATGAAACTCACTTTAACAAGATAATGTACTACATTGAAAGCGGAAAAAATCAGGGCGCTCGACTCTGTACCGGTGGTAGTCGTGTCGGCTCCACTGGTTACTTTATCCAACCTACAGTGTTTGCGGATGTCAAAGACGATATGATTATTTCCAAAGAAGAGGTTAGTTTATCCGAACGATCATTTTCAGGTGTGCGCTAGTTTTTTTCCAGCCGCCTATCGATTGTCCCAAGTATAATGGGACACCCCCACTTTTCACATTACGAACAATTTCGTCTCCCATCAGTTTTACACCCAGTTGTGGGTTTTATAGCAATTGCTGGTGATGTGGTTTTACGTGCACCTTTTGTTGTGCACTAATCCGCAGTAAACAGTATGGACGTAAGGCGGCTTAATGTGATGTGGAATTAATTGAGACCAACGAATTCTGCTAGTATCTCGGTTGTTCGCTTCAACTATTTTCTGTTCCGCGCAAAGTGGTTTTCGATATTCCACTTGTTTCAAAAGGTCCTGGAGAGCTTAGTACGGGAGAGTCCATGTTTCAGATGTTCAAATTCTTTGGCCGCAATAGATAGCACGAACACATCTGCTCATGTGCGATGAAATTCTACCCGGGGCTAATAATCATACCACTTGTTGCATAAATGTAAGTTCATCGTGTGAATGATGCTTACTTTGAAAGCATTGGGGCGTTTTGGAAAAATCCTGTTTTGTGGTAAAACGGTCTCTTTGTTTCCGGTGGAGCGCTACTCTGATAATAGGTGGTAGTGGATCACACTGCCAAAGCGTCATCACCCGACATGTAGAAACCTCATGTGGTTTGCCATTCCAGATCTCAGATTAGATACACAAACCGTTAACAAAATAGGAAAAAATGTGGATACATAAACTACCAGGCGGGTTTCAAATTATTACAATGCAACAACGTAGTTTGGGCTGCATTACTAAGTCGACCACCATTTGTTGTCCACAACATCCACAATACCTTCCCACATTAAGAGCCGAATCAATCAGTCAACCCGTTTTAAACTTCCGAACTGGGTTACTCCTGAATTAAATTTAGCCTATATCCTAGCTGTGTTTATCGGTCATCGAGTATGGTTCATTTGTCGTTGAATGTCAGCTACGTATCGATACTTTGATCCGATCCCATATCGGAATTTGAAATTCTGGGTGATTCCAGTGTTCACAATGGAGAGTGACTCCGTTGACGTGTTATGCTATTCACAAGGTTGCTGACACTCTTCAGCTGCCCATGATCAACGTCACCCTACTTGGGAACAGTCAATAGTTCCCAAGTTTCCGTCAACCCAATATTAATTTGAGGCCGTCTCTATGCGGCACATTCAGTTGAAAAAAATATAAAAAACGCGTGAGGAAAGGCGACACAATCGTCTCGAATATCGTCCCAACAAAAACCTGAGACAACTTTTGGACAGCGCACGAAGTAGAAAAATATCATAGACGAGAGTTTCATATGGAGCTTGATGAGGTCACCCCCCCCCCCCCCGCTTCTCGCTCTAAAACCATCTTAAATGATGCGCCTCGTCCAGTTGAACCCGGACTGCGACGGCACCATTACTCAAACTCGAATATTTTGAACATAGCATCTATCTGATCTAAAACCATCTTAAATGATGCGCCTCGTCCAGTTGAACCCGGACTGCGACGGCACCATTACTCAAACTCGAATATTTTGAACATAGCATCTATCTGATGACAATGCAAAACCCAGCCCTCAGGTTTTACATTCACTGGTTTGTCAAACTGTCCCATTTTCTTTTCCGTCGACAACTTCTCTCCTTTTATTTTGCATTCTGAGGATAGTCTTTTGTGTTTTGCGTGGATTAGTTTTTAGTTTTCGTGTAACTGTGTTTTTTTAGAAGATCCTCGGTTTTTGCTGCAGCATTTCTGATGACAGCAATCGACTGCTTACCGCTTTTTCACACCGTAGAAGCAGTTATTCTCAGAGTAGCCTGATCGTTCGTACCTGGTGTTCGTAACAGAATAGCACACAAATATTTGGAGGTCTCACCCGTGTTCCTTGGCACACGATGACGTCGGCGCAAATAACAGTTGATTTACTGCGATGGACAATGTGAACGTTCGATATACCGACATAAATAGATCGTTTTTCGATCAGTCCAAGCAGTCAATCGCAACTTCCCGCCTACTTTCTTCTTATAGCTGGGCCGTCCAAAAATTCACAGACCCTCCCATCAACAAGACGAGGCTGTTGGCGCAATCCATGTCCACTTCCTGTCATTTCTGCCAGCTTATTCGGCTACGTTGTCCTTTTCTTAGTATTTTATTCCACTGCCTTTTGGAACTCAACGTCTTCAAAACACCTGGCCTATCGTTTTCGGGCAACTGAAAGCTGGCCTTTTTATCCGGTGGAAGTTCGCATGCCCTCACTTTAAAACGGGGCTCTCAATGTGACCATGATTATTGACTTCTTTTTGTCAAGGATTCTGACTGGATTTCTGCTCAGACAACACGGTGATTCGTTATTACTCCACTTTATATACTCAATACATGGACTTACATTGTTTAACTCTAGGGACCACTTCATTCTCCTTACTTTGCACTTTGCTCTACACCGCTTTTTCGTGGGTAGAAACCCCACCCAAATGGTAGCGGTTTCCGTCATGATGTTCCGTCTAACGCGTGAGATTTAGTCACACCGGCACGCCCTCAAACAGTCGGAGCTTTTCGTTCGCTTCGTGAGAAGCACTTGCTATTTGAAAGGAGAACCGTAGTATTTTTTAGTGCTTAACGAGCGTTCCGAGAAGCTCCACGTCGCGCTCAAATGTTTCAATGGCACCCATTCAGTGAATAACGACACTGTTAGGGGCTGTTGTTACTTGCTGAACAGTCCTAGGCTTCCTGCTCCGCCCCCACTGATATTTCAAAAAGCACAGTAGCTTCAGACGGCCGTTTTATGAAGACAAAGATTATTACAACCGTATTTATAGGGTCATCACAGAATGCTCCTCAAGGTCGTGCTTAAATCTCCGTGAGGGGGTAAGAAGCATCGAGCTAAAAATTCTCAATCCAGATTGGCTGACGTTCCGACCAACCAGGGCATGAGTTGGTTTCGTCCGTAGTCCGCACGTGACATCCGTCCAATTGACGTGATGTTCGGTTACTGGGGGCAGCTGACCTCCGGACAAGGCATTGCCCTTTTTGGCCTATGAATGACTTGTCTTTTACTTAAGTCTGCAGTTATAAGCTGTCGCCTTCCTTGCATGTCTGTGCTCTCCCCTCTCGAGCCATCAGTAGTTTGGAACAGTGAATAAAATAGGAAATGTTGTCGTAGCACCAACTATTTATGTTCTCTTGAATTTACCGGACAGATTGCTGTGTCATCCCACTTACCTCCGCTTTCTTCTCTCTCGCATTTGGCCCGTAGATATTTGGACCCGTAATGCAGATTACCAAGTTTCGCACTATGGATGAAATGTTTCATCGAGCAAATTCCACAGAATATGGACTAGCTGCTGGGATTATTACGCCAGATCTGGACAAGGCCATGTACACAATGCAAGGCCTTCGTGCAGGAACGGTGTGGTATGTAGTTTATACCGTGGTTTACGTACTTATTAGCGAGTGGTTGCGGGTTTAAGTTCAAAACTATGTCGTTTCGTTCGCATTCTTTACACTTGGGTCTATATTCAATATTTTTAAGACTCGAATTTCTTCTACAGCACATGCTTAGTTTATTTTTTTGCTATTCCATGTACAGGACTGTAACACCACCAGATGGGGATAAGAAAGATGATCGTTCTGCCTTGACATCCTTTCGGTGCCTAGCTGCTATGCCATTCAAAGGAAGCACGAGGGCTGGGACACTGCCAGGTTGCCCGTGTTTAGACAGGGGAATTTGAGTGGCAGAATTCGCTTTTGAATCACGGACCTTCCGATCAGTAAAGGTGCGCTCTAAACACTGAGCCATCTAGCCTCCAAATGAGGACATGCTCACAAGAAAAGAATGACCCAGCCTTCCTTTAAGACTGCCACCTCTAAATCCCGAGAAGGACCACAGCGTGCCATCGTCCATTTAGATTTGTTATGTGGCATACATACATACGTTATGCATCTGTCAGGTTCATTGCGATGCTTACCCAGTTGATTCACTTATATCGTGAATGTAATTCAGCACTACTCACTCGCATTTTGTTGTCTATCCAAGCTTCACAAACTCCATTGGACTGAGAACAAATCAGCAGGTATTTTTCAATTCTCTGCCGTTGTTTCAGACTGTCCTGAGTACTCCATTGCTGGTATGGTTTGAACATCATCATCCTCGTTTTGCTTCCAAAACGTTTTTTCTCCTTGATGGACGAGTAGATTGAGTGAGGGATACAGCTTCTGTGATGATGACGGTCCGTTCGGCCTACGTTTTCTACGCCTCGTTCACCAGTTAACCCTCTAAGAAACCCCAAGCTTTGTAATGCAAGTGGACAAATTTTCGCCATTGTTGGTTTTTCTTATATCTTATATCAGAATGTAAACATCCACAACTCTGTAGTCCCTGTGGCTGACTGGTGTTAGGTGGGAAACGGATTCATTTATGAGCTCACCGTTATTTAACCTATGGATGAACACGAATGGAACGGTGAATGGAACGGTTTAGCACTTGGATTGGTCCCTTGGACATATATTAGAACGGAGTTGTTCTTGGAGAGCTGGAATATTGAAGCTCCTCACAATAAGAGAGATGTGAGTGTCTTAGTTTTATGATGGCCCGTGGTTGTCACAGTTCTCTCTTCATCGAGCACTGTGCCGCTAGGTGGGTGGTAAATGGCTGCAACAAGGCGATGGTCACCACTCACTAACACGAGACTGGAATATCATTAATTTCTAGTGAGGATTCCTGCCCATTCGTGGTTCGATGGGGTGCAGCCGCAAACAACAACTCACTCGCCCCTTGCTTGTGTGTCCCGTCTGATGAGCGATATTCCAGATGAGGGTATTTAGAACCCTAATGGGTTTGAGCGATTAGATATGACGGTACGGTAGTATGTAACTATCAGGAAGGTCATATTCCTGAAAGCAACCACTGGATGCCCGAAATCTACTGAGACCCCCAGCTCCGCTAGATGCTGACTAGACAGGCAACTCCTCAAAAATATACAGCCTTGTATCAAAGCCAGATGGCGTGTGTCAGTGTTGGATCAAGTTCAAACAGCGTCTCCCCAATAAATAGCTTGAGGCCGTTGCACTTTCGCCTTAGCTTCTTCGGAAAACAGCTGTTGTGTTCCGGCACTAGGCACTGGAGTGAGATCAGCAGTCAGATACAACAGTGACCAAAGTGCGCTGGAATGACATATGGTTAGAGTTAGGTAGTTAGCGTTGAGAAGTCCACACAGCCTTATGTTTTGTTTGAGCCGGTCACTAGCATTCTTTCCTACCGTGGGTTGCTACTGAGGGTCATTGGAAGTGAGTCAGAGACTTCACCTATTTGATATGGGCCTTCGTATACCCTGCGGTTTATGTTGCTGGTTCCTACCGGATGGGAACCTAGTTCGGTAAGATTTCTGATTTGACTAGCATGCCTTGAGTACTTCACTCAGGCTAGCCTTGAGTATCTGCGCCCATTTCATTTGTAGCTGGTCGAAACGAGGTACGTAAAGCACCGGTTCCCAGCATGTAGTTAGTTTGCGACTAATTCTGGATGGATTTCCATTTGTTGCAGTCACATCGGTAGTTCATCTTTTAGTTAGGATATTTCAACTATGGTGATCCACACACGGACATCGGTTCTTTCGGTTTACTGGGTGGATGCGGCAGCACTCTTCCAAGTAGCATCAAGAAACCCCTCATGGTTATGTCCTTTTGAGTTGGTAAGGCGCTGCTAGATCCTTTTTGACCTCTTGGAACCGACGGTCACTGCATGCAACCCGAATCCGTTGACGTCTGCGAAACCAGGTTTCTTCTCATTAATCTTCCTGGAGCTTCCTCGGTTTGACGGACACGTCGATTTTTCGACGTATTTTGGCTCATCGAGTTTCGTTTCAACTCTCCTAGTAGCATGTGTTAAAGAAAGTAACTAGTATCGCGCAGCGGACTTCGCGACAGTTGAAGTTGGACGTATGTGTATAGTTTTCCTGGAAGTCCTCAAGCCTTCTACGGAGTGTGGTGGGCATTGATTGGCTCGGAATGAGCGGCAACAACTGAAGAACTTGATGGACAGCTATTGATCTTATTTTGATATAATATGGTATTTATTGGGTTGCTGAGAGTGCTTTGACAACCCCCTGTCGGTTTTGCTCTTGTTGGGGCCAATCAGTTAGGTCTAGTCCGCGAGTATCCATTTAGGTAACCGGTGGTGAGATGAACTTCGTGGATGAGCTGTTTGAAGTCATGGGTCGTTTCAGACCTAGTTAAGTTGCTCCCCCAGTACCCCTTAGATTCGATATCCACGTTAATATTGGGTTTACTTCGTTCTGTAGCTTGTGTAGTTGCTTTCCGAAGTGTGTGCGCAATTAATGTCTACTTGACTACAAAACATGTTGCACAGTGGAGGTAACAACAAATGTACCATCATGGATTTTTCGGTCTCATCGAGATGTATTCAATATTCGATTCAGTGGTAAACGCGAATTTTAGCAGGAACCCAAAAGATCTTCAGAATTTTCTCCATATACGAAGGATTCTCCATTCAGGTTTTTCACTATTTTTCACTTTATTCGTTCATTTAAGTGGTTAAGTATGCGTCCCGACTCGCGCCATATCAAGAACGTCTATGCATTCACTGTGGGAGGATAGTACGGAGGTTTTTCAGAGTGGAATTACGTCTTTTGCATTATCGTCACATGCTGAATGATGTTTCCATAGACTTATATGCTTAACATCCAAATGTCAGTCTTGGCAGCTGCAGACCCGTTCAGTCTACGGATTTTCCAAGCTGAGAGGCGCAGTGAAATGTAGTTGCAAAAGTTGGCTTTTATAGTCTCACAAAGACAATTAGTCTGAAGGAAGAGTTTATTTCATATTGAGCATCCTTCTCGACTGAGACGAGATGGCTCAGTTGGTTAGAGCTCACATTTACTGACCGGAAGGTCCGTGGTTCGAACCCGACTTCTGCCACCCGACTTCCCTTTCTAGGCTCGGACAACCTGGCAGTATCCCATCCCTCGTGCCTTCTTCGAATGGTGGGACAGCTAGGCACCAGAATGGTGTTACAGCTGAACGATCTTTCTCTACAATTATTTCCGTTTTGTTTCAAACGTACTACTCAAAGCTTATCAGTTCATCGGTCACCATCGAACAAAAACTATTGGTGTCGCCGGCCATCTTGTGCTCGGCTCATTGCTGTTGTCTCTGGTCCGTATATCCAATGGACTTCAGTATAACAACGGATAAGGCGGCCTGTCCAAAGCGCACTCAGTAATTAATACCGTTCGGCAAACGATCCTTTTGTTGCCTGGAGACGAGCGGTGAGCAGTGGGTGTCTTCCCAAGTAGAGTTAAAATTCGATCTGAAGATTCTCAATTGACTTTGCCTCTGATAATACATTTGTTCACAAATTTGTCTCCGCACGCTAGTATGTGCATGGTCTTTTTAGGAAAAATCAAATTGAAACTTGCTTACTTATTTTCGTTCAGCAGTCTGAAGCAGATGAGAATCACTTCGTCGTTACTGTGTTTTTCTTTTCCGATCAGGATCAATTGCTACGATGCCCTTGATTCGGCAGCTCCATTTGGAGGCTATAAAATGTCCGGTCTGGGGCGCGAGTTGGGAGAATACGGACTGCAAATATACTCAGAAGTAAAAACGGTAAGTTACCTACAGACATGCTTCACCACTCATGCTCTGTGTGGTGCAAAGCCTCGTCCAAACGGCGTGACGTGTGATATGTCGTGTAAATTTTCCCCTAGGATTCTGGTGCTGCAGTAAAATTGTCTTCCAAAACATGGCTCCAGCGTCCCATTGCGTGTTTTAGCGAAAGCACTTGAATTTGGAAGCGACCAAAGTGCCTAGTCTTCAACCACAGAAGCAATTCATTGTAACGAAGCTTTTGATTCTAATCCTCCATTGAGAACTCAGTACCGCTGAACTGAAGTGAGTCCTTCTTGATGGCGACTGCGATAACTAAGCTCTCGGGTACACAAACCCCACCATAGTTTGGAAGTACCAATTGATGATCATACAAGGCACAGTAACTCATTATTTTTCGAGTTCTCAGTATTCATCGCAAAAGAAACTTTCTCAAAGATAATTTGACGTGTTTATTGTGCAAGTGTGTCTAGATGGAGCAAACCGATTTCTTCATTTGTCGTTTAGCTGATGTAGGCTTTCGAGTAGTGCACAAGTTTACCATGCTGTGCTATGTGTAAATAACGGATCCACAAGACTGTGGAGTTATTTCAGTCAAAATTCAAATTTTTCTGCCAATTTCATCATTTCTGTTGGGAGTTACCCGAATGCATGCATAGAAGGAATGTTCTTGTCGGTCACGCTTCTACGTCGACCAACTCCCCGAAAGTGGTTCCTCGAAGGAAGTCCTGATTCCTCCCACCTCACTCCCAGTTTGTTGATTAATGTTGTCCATGCCGCTGTTTTTCTCATACATCCCATTTCGTTTCTCAAAACTTCATCAACCGGGAAACCTTTGTTTGGTAACCAATCTCCCACCATTACTGTACTGTGTTCCTCTCGTTTCCAGGTCACTATGCGTTTGTCTCAAAAGAATTCGTAGATGGAATCTTCTAGTGGCTTTTGCGAATATCTGCTCTGTTTATTATTGGCACTTACGGTTTGCTTTTTTCCATCTAATCATGGTTATTTGATTCTACAATAGACCGGGTTATTTTGATAACTGCCCGTCGTTTTTGTTTACATGTAGTCACCCGTTCATGTGAATGGTGTGAACATCGTACACCGGTACGAACATTGGGATGTGTGTGATAGAGAAAGAACAACAGGTCGTCATCATGAGCAGACGACTGTGGGTAAGTTTTCACGAGCTACTTCATCATGCTACAGGCTGAATTTGGGGGTTCATCACGGGCCAACAGCCATAACTGCTAACAAGAGTTTTAATACTGTCTGATTCATGACGCCCTTGTAAAAACACATCCGTCGGCTGACTGAAGTGAGATCTGAGCTCAGTTCGCGGGAGCACAGGGCCAGTGAATTCGGTTATGCTTGATAACCTGCGGAGCGCAGGGTTTTGATTGGGGTACGACAAGTAATCTTGCCGAGTACTATGGATATCATTATGGTATATATGATGTTATAACATCATTATGACTTACATTTATACGTATATGCGAAGCGATAACCGGTTAACTCACCATGTCAAGAGAATTCGCCTTCAGCTCTAAGATAAAATAACAGCAAAATTTGCTGGCCTTATACGATTGTTTCAGTCAGAGCTTGACGAAGTCTTGGTCTGCTTTGATGTCAACTCGATGTATACCAATATCCCCAAAGCGGACGCTGTGGAGTTAGCGAGAAGACTTTACTGGAAGACACGACGATGCAAGAACGAACTCAACTCTATGTAGACGGGATAGTTGAAGGCATAAAGGTATGCCCAAATCTCAGTCACTTTGTTTTCGGATCAATTATTTGCTCTCAAGAACAAGGTTTAGCGATGGGATCACCAATGTCCCCAATTTCGGCCAACATGTACGTGGGAGAATTTGAGCAAAAAGCTTTAAACGGATTTAAGTGTGCACCAAGGGTTTTCTGGCGTTACGTAGATGACACGTTCGTTGTGATAAAGCGGGATAAGGTGAACGAATTGTTTCAATATCTGAACACTTTGGACCCTCGCATTGAGTTTAGCATGGATGTAGAGTCCACATCGGGTACACTAGCCTTCTTTGACTGCATGACACACAAGAGTGGTGGGAATTCAAAAACCACTGTTTACCGGTAATCAACAGATAGCGGTGCGGTCTTAAACTACTCCTCTGCATATACAAAAGCACTATATGCTAGTATAGTTTCAGCGATGTTTAGGAGAGTGACAGCACTGTGTACGGGAGAGGTCAACCGAAGAGCAGCACAACTTCAGGTAAAAAACGACTCCAAGATTGCGGATACCCAGTGGGTTTAACTAAGTGGCTACTAAGACGGGTATTGGTGTCAACACCAAGACCCAACAAGGAGTGGATCGGAACAGCGGTCATTCCATACAAAACAGGGACATCTGAAGTCATTAGAAGGGAACTGAATATGGCTAACACTGAAGTAGCATTCCAGAAGAAGAAGACTTACGCTCGGTGTTAGTGCATTTGAAGGATCGCCTTCCGGTTGATAGGACCAGGAACTCTGTATACAAGGTAATATGTAACGACTGTACGAAGGTTTGTATAGGTCAGATAGCCAGGGTATTGCACACCAGAATCGGTGAGCATAAGCGTTCCATTAACAGACCACCGGAAAACGCATAGGAATACCAGGCGTTAGTCAAAGATTTAGTAATGGCAGGGCATGCTCTAGACATTGGGCATAGGATAGATTTAGAAAATGTGGATATCCTGGGACGGGGTTTAAGATTCACACCACAGCGACTGGTGGCCAAGGTGGTGCAAATTGCCAAGCATCCAAGTGTGAATAGAATAGAGGGGGTAGAACTTGCAAACGTGTGGAGAGCGGTCTTAGATCAGCTGAGATGACACGAGGCGGTGTGCAGTTACCAGCGAAACGGTCTGGGTCTAAAAGTACAAAATCTAAGTAGAGTTAGGTCCAATGAACCACCCAACCCTCATCCCCAAACCAATTGTTCCGGCCCCCTTTGACGAACACAGGTGAACGAAATCTGTGAACGACCCCAAGAGAATATTCCATTAAGGTGTTCTAGACTGAAAAACAAGGACGAAATATCCGGGTTCATCATGAGGACAAATCCTTCCCCCTAACCAGTCTATCATCAGACTGAACACCCAACACAGCAAATCGGCCAGTCAAGAAATCTCACGGATTCGTTCCCTGACTGCCTTAAAACCCAGTCAACCTACTTTATTACCCACTTGGCCTGAGGAAGCTGTTGTGTCAAAAGCGAAACTTTGCCCAGCAATACGTCCACCGATTGTTTACCAAACCTCTCTGGAACGATGACTCCAGTCGGTCTTAAACATTTTCCAATTGAAGACAATTGCTATTTTTGAGGTCACAGAATTTGCCGAATAAAGCAGCCAGACCTGAGGATAAAACTCAATCAAAACTCATGCACATGACCACCAAGCAAGGCCAATGACAACTTTATCAGAATTATGAATAACCAATGACCTTCGAAGCTGGAGGGTAACAGACGCAGATGAAAGTGAATGGGTTTCGCTTGGTCACAATATTCTCCGTTGGTCTCCTTGCCGCTATGTAATTGATAGTAATAAAAATCGTCAACTTACACCAAATGACAGATCGCCATAACGGTACAGTAATTCAGTCATCCGTTGTCGATTTTGTAAAAATATGGGAGTTTTCCATGAATATTGGCTCAATTTTCTAACAGTTAGATGAATGCATACCGAAAAGCCAGTACAGGTGAAAATCGATAACTTTTTGCTGTTTCCAAATGTACGAGGAGCACTCATTTAGGTACAGAAAAGCTGGACGAGGGGACACAGTTGACAGCACAATAATTTTGTTCAATACATCTTACTCGACACATAGTTGCAGGTATGATAGATTGTGAGTCAAAATGATATGCCATGAAGTTCAGAAACAATGAAAACCACAAAAAATAGCAACTAAGAGCATTCTACTGTATGGCGTGTTGAAATTTAGGGATGACACGCCCCCGCAAGTGTCGGTTTATCCGACCGAATGGTGGATGAATTCCCAGGCTTTGTTTTGACGAATGCCTTGCTATTGTTATGCTAATACTGAAACCGTGAAACCCAACTCAACAGCACAAATAAGGAAATTCCATAAATAGTACCCACACATCCGGTTTATTCAGTCCAGCCGTTTGATATAAATTAATGAGCACCGGTCAGAAAAATATTTCGCTGCTTTGAAAGGCAGATAAGAAGTAAGATTCGGTTTGTTCAAGCAGATTACTCGTCAGTAGCACCGATCGCACCTATTCTTCCACTTGCTAATTAACTCTACGAGTGAAATGTTGTCGGTGTTTGCCAGACACACTTCTTTTAATGAACCGGAAACCTCATTCTTTCATTCAGCCATCATTGTGGCTCACATATATCCCCAAAAACGAAGCATATCTGTGGCCTTACAAACTTTTTTCCCGATTAAATTGGACTTTGAATTGGGCACACAGGGATTTCACCCATTTCTGGCGAAAAGAGGAAAGCAGGACATGCCAATGCTATGTTTTTTCCCCGCCTTGGGATAGCCTTTTATTTAGACTTTGATTCAACATTGTGTAACGTGTGTGAATTCGTAAAATATCTTTGGATNCATCTTGTGCTCGGCTCATTGCTGTTGTCCCTGATCCGTATATCCAATGGCCTTCAGTATAACAACGGATAAGGAGGCCTGTCCGGCTAATTGCGATCCACAAGCGGCATCAACGTGGGTACCTGTCCAAGCGCTTTTAGGAGCCCGTGAGCCAGAGAAGCCAAGAATGGCTTCTGACCACGACAGTGTTTAGCTGCCCTAGTACCTTCTGGTTCATCTGCAGTTTTTCCAAAGCGCACTCAGTAATTAAAACCGTTCGGCAAACGATCCTTTTGTTGCCTGGAGACGAGCGGTGAGCAATGGGTGTCTTCCCAAGTAGAGTTAAAATTCGATCTGAAGATTGTTAATTGACTTTGTCTCTGATAATACATTCGTCCACGAATTTGTCTCGGCACGCTAGTGTGCATGGTCTTTTTAGGAAAAATCACCTTGAAACTTGCCTACTTATTTTCGCCCAGCAGTCTGAAGCAGATGAGAGTCATTTCGTTGTTCCTGTGTTTTTTCTGATCAGGATCAATTGTTACGATGCTCTTGATTCGGCGGCTCCATTTGGAGGCTATAAAATGTCCGGTC